TTTATTGTGGTGAAAACATACACAAGACATTCACCAACATAACAACTTCCACATTTACAGCTCAGAAACATTGATGACACTTTTCATATTGTGCCTTTTTTTTTTTTTTAACTTTTATTGTGGTGAAAACATACACATGACATTCACCAACTTAACAACTTCCACATTTACAGCTCAGAAACACTGATTACATTTTTGATGTTGTGTCACCATTATTGCTATCCTTTTCCTAAATATTCCACCACCTATTAGCATAAACACAATGTCCACCAAGCAAAAGCAAAAGCTTCCTCCTTCCCCATCTCTCCTACCCCTGGTAACCACTAATAATCTTTGGTTTAATCTTTAGTTCATATATATATATATATATATATATATATATTTTCCCAACCTATCTAGAAATTTTCCCTCCTCTCCCCTCCCACCCATAGTAACCAACAAAGAAAGTTTCCTTTAATGTATAAACCTTTCCTTGAGTTTTTACAATAGCAGACTAAAGCGGTATTTGTCCGTCTGTGGTTGACTTATTTTGAAGTGCTATTGTTTTAGAAGAAGCACAGGACTGGAGCCATGGAGGCTGGATGAACTGCTGAAACTGTTGCCCTGAGATAATCTTTAAACCTTAAACCAAAAACGTCCCCAGAAGTCTTCTTAAAACCAAACAATAGGTTAGCTTAACTAACAAAACACATCTGCCTTGAACCTTACGCCCTTTTAAGAATGATTTCTATAGGATCAAAGTTACAGCAGCAACTTGAAAAATTAGATAGGAACTTTAGAGGGCAGTGAGTTTATGTTAACTGGGGAGAAAAGGAGGGTAAGAATGGTTGCACAACTCCAAGAATGTAACCAGTCACTGAATTACACATGTAGAAATGGTTGAACTGGTGTATGTTTTGTGTATATTTTCTTAACAACAATTACAAAATAGAGTAAAATTTAAGAAAGAAAGAGCACAGGACTCTGCAAACAAGAGGGAATTAAAGGGTACAGCTGGTTGACCTGTGGGCTCAAGACAACTCAAGACCAGAACCTGAGAAAGGAAGTGTAATGAGGAAACTATCATTACAACATTCCAGACTCTTCTATGTGTCATGTGTCAAATGCTTTTATATGTGCCCTTTTCATTTAACATTTATAACCATGAGTGGTAGATATAAATGACTTTTCAAACATGAGAATCCTTCATATAGGATGTAAGTTTCCACAGTCCCATGCAATCTAAGCAGCAGGGCTCGGCTACCCCAAGGTTCATATGATCCCAGTTGGCCTTGTGTGGACTACTTCCTGTCTGGATCCAGGGCATGGTAAACTTTTCTTTTTTCTGAGAGTCACCAAGAAATATAGAGATCAACAGATGGGAACTCCCTCAGCTTCTTGCCAATGACTTATTCACACTCATGTCTGCCTCGCCACCCCTTCCCCCCAACTAAGCCCTTGACCATGCTCTGTTCCACAGAATCTCTCTCTCATAACCACATCAGGAACCACAGCCCATCAGTCACTTCTTTTCTTGCCCCTCAATTGTCTCTTTTCTCTCAGCATATGAATAAGCACAAGTTCCTCGTTTTTGTCCCCTGCTAGCTATTGCACTATTTCCTTTCCTTTGCTGTCAAGCTTCCTCCAAGGGTAGTCTCCAGTGATGGGCTCAACTTCCTCATCTTCTTTTTATTCTCTAACCCATGGCAATGAAATTGTTCTTGCTTAAGGTCACCTGACCTTTTCAATCTTCCTCCTACCACTATGTAGTCACAGACACAACTCATCATGTTGTTGTTATTTACCTTCGAGTTGGACCCACCTCATAGGGTCCCCTCCTTGGGTTTCCAAGGCAGTATCACTACGGAAGTAGATTGCCCAACCTTCCTTCTGAGGAGTGGCTGGTGGGTTTGAATCTCCAGCCTTCTGGTTAGCAGTCAAGTGCCTTAGACACTACGCTACCAGAGCTCCCACAATTCATCATAGCTCTTGGAAAACAAACTTTTGTCTTGGCCTCCAGCCACTGCTCTCCTGGGTTTTCCCTCTCTCTCTTCCACTTCTAATCCCCTAGTTCCTTAGTGGTCTTACTGGTCATGATCCAGGGTCCCATTTTGGCCTTCTCTTTTCACTCTACACATTTTCTCCTGCATACCTGTGGCTTCAATAAATGACCATGCCTAAATCTAACTTCCTGCCAGATATCTATTTGATATCTGTAGTAGTTGTTAATAATAGTTGCCCTATTATTTCTGCTGCTCCCCGTTTCTGGGCCTGTCATAGGACTGAGCTTCCAAGCTACCTCACAGTTGAGTGGTGCCCTGTAACGAGCAGGCCACTGCCTTTGAGTCAATTCTGACTCATAGTGACTCTATAGAGCAGAATAGAACTGCCCCATAGGGTTTCCGAGGCTGTAAATCTTTATGAAAGCAGACTGCTTCATCTTTCTTTCATGGAGTGGCTGGTGGGTTCAAACCACTGACATTTTGTAGCAGCTGAGCCCTTAACCACTGCACACCAGGACTCCACTGTGACTATTACTGATAATTGAATTATGAGCAGAATTTACATGCCAATTCTGAGCCACAGCATTTAATTGCTGCTCAAAAGCCCCTCAGAGCACTGATCTGCCTGCATGGCAGTTGCTGATGTGTGACATGGTGGCTTCTCCATTAGCCTGGGTCCCCCAGTGCCCATAGTGAGTGGAGGTCCTCTGCTGATCCATGAGAAAGAAACAGACCTTTGCTATTTTATGCCACTGAGGTTCAGGATTATTACCAAGCATAACCTTGCCTCTCCTAGCTGATAAATGGAGTTCATCTTCCCCAACATCCCATGTCTTTCCTTCTTTACCTTGGTACCACCAGTCACCCAAGCCAAAAAAGAGCACCAACCTTTCTCCCTTCCTCTCTCTTCTGCCATGCAGATATTACTAAGTTATGCTTACATGATCCCCCAACACACACATCCACTGAAGTTATTGCAGCTGACCTAAAGCTCTGAACTTTGTCCCCAAGTTTCCTGATGCTGTAATTAATGTCTGTTCATCCTATAAGATTCAGCTTATACACATCTTCTCTGGATACACTGCCTTCCCCAAAAAGATCCACAGATGAGTCTGGGGTTCTTTATTTCTCCTAGGAAGGCCTTAAGGGAGAGGGGCATATTATATTCATCTCTGGGTTCCCTGCTCCAAACATCGTTTCCAGCATACAGTAGGCATCCAATAAACATCTTATAAACTCATCATACTTCTTTTCCTTCCTAATTTTCGGAGAGAAATTTCTCTAGCTTCTATAAACCATGCTAGTTTATCACCATCTACATCAATCCCAAATCTTTCCAACTTTCTTTGAAAAAGATGTCAGAAACAATGTCTAATATGTTTAACCACTGAATGAAGGAACAGAGCTGAAATGTTAATATTTCCACATTTAATGTTAGGAGTCCATGTTTTCTTCCTACTTGCCATTCGACTTTTAATTCGCTTTACAGGGATCTTGGTCAGCCAAATGTCTCATCTCTCTTCTTTAACAACATCATTCTTCTTAATGCTGAGCATTAAGATAATTGTGGGGGTTGTGGTCAATATCACAAAACCTAAGCAGTTTTTTACACAAACTTTGGTGACAGCAGGCTTACTATTAACTGAGAGGGGGTGGACAATGTGACATGTGCTTTACCTTCAGCAAACTTGTTTGTTAATCCCGAATGTGAGTTCGGCTTTATCACTGAGACTCCTGTCCCCCTAGACATTCATGAATTCCACTCTTTCTTCAATGAAGGTCTGATTTGTCTAGTTACCTGTAAATCTTCTTTTAATTATGAAGTAGTTGTGGTAAAAACCACCATTCATTCAAGTCATTTTGCCCAGCATCACGGTCCAGGTATGGACATTCATTATAACTTTCACAACCACTCTGCAGAGGCAGGGTCTCATTTCTCAACCCCCAAAGCCACAAAGCTAGGAAGCAAGGAGCCAGGATTTAAAACCAGGTGTGTCTGGCTCCAAAGCCTAGGTACTTTCCACGTCACTCCACTTTCTAGTAAAAGGTCCTCAATTTCTAAACAGCCTGTCTTAAGCCTTGTCTTAAGTAGCTGCCCACATCTAGTGTCATAGAAAGTCCTATTTTGGGGCACGAGGAGTGGAACATTGAGCTTTACAGCTTACCTTTCCCACAACTGGTCTTCCCTGACTGAGGCACACGTCAGCTGTCCTTTCATATAGGCTTGTGCATCCTCAATGAAGGAGGCTATCCCAAGGAGGAGATGCTGAGTTTCCTGCATGGTGCTATCACTATAGTCTATTGCTAAGAAAGAAGAAATTGTTACTTGAGAGAGATTGACATTTAATACATCCTACAGCAAGCAGACTCAATTACACTTAAGCTTTCCTCAGTGTTTCTCTACAGTGGCCTTACCAGTTATAGCCTACTATCACACTAGAATCCAACAGAATTAAAAGGAACAACTGCTTTCCTATTAAGGAGCTCTGGGAGCACAATGCATAAGGCATTTGACTGTTAACTGGAAAGCTGGTGGTTCAAACCCACCAGCCACTCCATGGAAGGAAAATTGGGCAATCTACTTCCATAAAGATTTACCACCTCAAAAACCCAAAAGAAGCCGGTGTGAGTTGAAATCAACTAGATGGCAATGAGGTGGTTTTTTTTTTTTTTTTTTCTGCTTTCCTATTGCCATATTCCCCAAGTCACATCTGACACAGGCTAAACACACCTGACACATGACTAAAGTGCTATGCCACCTTAGAAGAAATGAAGTGGTCCATGAAAAACTTCTAAAATACTTGTGGGCCAAGGGAACTTATTCTCACTGACAGACAGATGATAATAACTAAGTAGGAAAAGTAGAAGGGATTTCACCCCGGATGCCTACGCAAAGATCAAAGCACCAATGAAATGTGCTAACTGGCTGCAGTGAGGATTTTAGTATTTCAGGAAAGAGATGAGAGAAATGGTTCTCAAATTCAGAATTTTGTAATATATAAAAACAGGCTTAAGAATACTTATTCTAATCCTGAATAGACTAGGAGAGTAATGTGGAACAAAACTCAAAATAAAAAAAAAAGACAAGGCTTACTGGTCTGATTGTTGTTGTTGTTATGTGCCATCGAGTCGGCCCCGACTCATAGCGACCCCTCCTTGGGTTTCTGAGGCAGTATCACTATGGAAGTAGGATTGCCCAACCTTCCTTCCGAGGAGTGGCTGGTGGGCTTGAACCACCAGCCTTCTGGTTAGCAGTCAAGTGCCTTAGCCACTATGCTACCAGAGCTCCTACTGATCTGATAGAGCCTGGCAAAACTCCTGAGACTATGGCCCCTCATTATCCTTCAGGCTTGGAACTGAACTCACTCCCATGGCTTCCAGCCAAACAACAGACAGGCATATAGGGTGGACATTTACACCAGGTAGGTACACTCCTTAGAACAACCAATCATGGGAGATCAGAAGGGCAGTATTTACACAGGGAGATAGCTCAGGGGGCAGGAATGTATAGGAAAGGAGGACACGGGGAAGAGGTAACCATGGGGAGGAAGTGGGAAGAGAGCTGTTACATTGTGGGGGTTGTGGTCAATATCACAAAACAAAATGTCTATGAACTGCTATATGGAGAATGAATTTGATCTGTAAACTTTCACTCAAATCACAATAAAAATTTATGTATATAAAAAAGAACATATTCTACAAAGCAAATCTAGCATCCTAGATCACTAGGACACCACTTTCAGTCTAGCCTGCCCCACCACAGAAAGGGAGTGCTCAGCTGGATAAAGGGGCTGAGAGACTGCTGTTGTTAGCTGTTGTCAGTTAGCCCCTAACTCAGTGATCCCATGCACAAAGGAATAAAATGCTGCCCAGTCCTGTGCCAGCCTCATGATCAGTTGGAGATCAGACCGTTGTGATTTTTGAAAGTAGATGGCCAGGCCTTTCTTCCTAGTCTGTTTTACTCTGGAAGCTCTGGTTCAGCATCATAGCAACATAAAAACCTCCACTGACAGATGGGTGGTAGCTTTGCGTGAGGTGCACTGGCTGGGAATAAAACCCACGTCTCCCATATGGAAGGTGAGAATTCTACCACTGAACCATCAATGTCTCCTGGGAGTGAGAGGGTGGGGCAGATGACTGGAAGAAGAGAAAAGACAGACCTCTAGTGGTAAGAGTGGTGAAGATGGATGGAAGGACCCCATAGTGAGTATATGAGGAAATGAGTCAATCTCTGACCAGATAAGAGAGCTCCAGTAGTCTGTTCAAAAGGAGTGGGAGAGAAGCTGAGGCCCTCTCTTCTTGCAGTGCATGAGCCAACTAACATCACTCCTACATTTCAGTGTTGAAGCTGTAGTTCTTTCTTATTGCAGCCTTTCAAAATCATTCATGTCATCTTCCAAAATAAGAAAATCTCTGCTTCAATCAATTGTGTAATTCTCTTCCCCTAAAATAATTGCTTTTTATGGGTTATCTTTTCCATTGGATGAATAAGAGAAAATACTGGGGTGTGAGAAACAGTGATGAAGACTAGCGAGCTCTGCAATTCTTAAGGGAATATGGTGAGGGTGGTAGAGGGAGCAGAAGTGCTTCAATTTCAGTAAGAGAAAGAACTGTTTAGTTGACAGTTACTAGGAAGGAGTGAAAATATGGCTACAACCACAGCCCCACAGCCCAGTTGGGGATGGAAGTTTTAACCAAAAGAATCTTATAAATGGGGGAAAGGCATAAGGCCTGAGCAGACTTAAGAGTGTAACATAAGAATTATGGTGAAGAGTTTGGGCACTACAGCCAGATAGCCTGGGCTTGAAGAACATCTCTACCATTTTCTAATTGTGATCATGAACAAATTACCAAGACTTTCTGTACATCAGTTTCTCCATCTGTAAAAAGTGAGTAATACTCGTATCTACTCCCACAGATTAAGGAGCCCTGGTGACTCAATCATTAAGGCATTCAGCTACTAACCAGAAGGTCAGAGGTTCTAACCTACCAGCTGCTCCATGAGAGACAGATGAGGCACTCTGCTTTTGTAAAGATTTATAGCCTTGGAAACCGAGGCTGTTCTACTCTGCCTACAGGGTCACGATGAGTCAGAATCAACTTGATGGTAGTGAGTTTGGTTTTTTGATTTGATGGAACAATGGTTAAGCACTCGGCTACCAACCAAAAAGTGGGTGGTTCAAACCACCAGCTGCTCCATGGAAGAAAAGATCTGGCAATCTGCTACCATAGAGATTACAGCCTAGGAAATCCTATGGGGCAGTTCTATTCTGTCACATAAGGTCACTATGAGTCAGAATTGACATGACAGCACATGACACAATAACCATAGATCAGTGACACTTATGGAGTAAAAATATATGCAAAATGTCTAGAACAGCAATCAATACATGTTATACTATTGTAAGCAATATTAGATACTCTAAATCTCAGATTTAGTAAAATGGGTACATATGATCCAAATGAATATTAATATATACATTAATATGAATATTAATATATGCATTAATATAACTCCCAGCACTATAGAGGTGAAAAAGCTCAATAAGGATGCAAAAATAATTATCTATTAAAAATATATTTTCTGGAGACAGTACATGAAATTTCTAAACCATTGTTGTTAGGTGCCATTGAGTTGGTTCTGACTCATAGAGAACCTATGCACAACAGAATGAAGCCCTGCCTGGTCCTGCACCATCCTTGTAACTGCTGCTGTGTTTGAGCCCACTATTGTAGCCACTGTGTAAATCCATCTTGTTGAGTCTTCCTCTTTTTTGCTGACCCTCTACTTTACCAAGAATGATATCCTTGGAGATGTTCTTCTAAGGAGCATTCTGGCTGTACTTCTTCCAAGACAGATTTGTTCATTCTTTGGGCAATCCATGGTATATTCAATATTCTTCCAAACACCATAATTCAATGCATCAATTCATCTTTGGTCTTCCTGATTCATCATCTCTTCTTCATGGATAATATGCTACTATTATTGGCCCTCAAATTTTAAAAAATAATATTTTAAGGCTAAATGACTGATAAATATGTTTGTTGTTGTTGTTATGTGCCATTGAGTTAGACTCCTTGGGTTTCCAAGGCAGTATCACTATGGAAGTAGATTGCCCTCTTTTATTCTCATAAGGATCCAATTAACACTGACATAGTCCCAGTGTTTTAGATCAAGACACTAAAAACTGCTCTACCAGAAGATGGTATTGCTATCAGCTATTCAAAGACAACCAGGGACACTCATTCCCACATAAGGAGGATACAAAGAGTAAAAACCAAAATCAATGGTCATTTTCTGAGCACTGGCAGGGTGGATTTCATATCATGTTCAAAAAACTGATGTTCAATCATAAACTAAATTTCAGCACTAGCTAGAGTCCAGATGAATCATAACAAAATGAAAAATTTAGAGTTAATGAGTTGAATTCAGGCTTCGTGTACTGGAGATTATCTCAGAAATGCTATATGAAAGCAAATAATTTACAAAGATCGAAGTAGTGTTTCTTGTCTAAGGATCCAAAAATGTTGAGACAAAAAAGAATAATGATATGGATGACCAATAGCATCCATTCCATCCCTTAAAAAGAAATAGTAAGGATCTTTTAAGTGGTATCTTATCTTTACAGAACACTAGTGTGTGTTTTTAAGAACACAAATGGATTAACAACAAAGACAAATAACACAATCAAAAAATGGACAAAGGACTTGAATAGACATTTCGTCAAAGAGGACATTCAAATGGCTACCAAACACATGAAAATATGCCAATGTCATTAGTGAAATCAAGCCTATTTCACTCCCATTAGGATGGCTAAGATAGAAAAAAGAAAGAAAGAAAATAATAAACACTGATGAGGACATAAGGAAATTGGAACTCTTATCCATTGCTGGTGGAAATGCAAAATGGGACAGTTGTTGTGGTTACAGTGTGGTGCTTTCTCAAAAAACTAGTAATAGAACTACCACATGATCCAATTCCATTTCTAGGTACATACCCAAAAGACTTGAAAGCAGAGACTCAAATAGACACTTGTACACCAATATTCATTGCAGCACTATTCACAAGAGCCAAAAGGTAAAAGCATTTTGATAAACAAAAATGTTGATAGTCAAAATTCCCAACAGATGAATGAGCAAATAACATGTGGTACATATATACAATGCAATACTACTCAGTCAGAAAGAGAAATGAAGTCTTGGTATATACTACAACATGGATGAGCTTAAAGATATGCTGAGCAAAATAAGTCAATCACAAAAGGACAAGTAATGTATGATCTCACTTACATGAAAAGACAAGA